GTGGGTTCGAATCCCTCTCGTGCCATTAGCTTTTTTTTATCTCAACTAAAAACCTTAATTAATTGTAAGGTATTGGTCAAGCGAACCACGAAATTAGTGAATATTAAACAATGTTGACTGACAAAACCTTTTCTAAGAAGTAATCCAAACAAGAACTATAACAATTAATGATTAATTATAATTTACTACATTAATGGAAGGTGGTCTCTCTCCGGTCACTAGATTGGCAACTTCGGTCTTTGCTGAGTAGCAGAAAAATTTGTTGTCTTGTCTTTAAGATGGCGCAACTATTTATTAAAAAGACTAGTTTGTTTTTCTAAAAATAGAAATCTTAAACTAGTCCAACGTAACCTTTCCTATCTCTTATTAAGCGTTGTTAACATTATTTATTACAGGTGGATAGACATTCAAATGCCATTAAAATCACAAGTACTTTTTATTAATAATAGCCTTCATACATGTTTTAGACGTCTACTAATTGTTTTTTGTATATAGTGACAATGATTTAGACGGTTTCTGAACATTCAGTTTAACGAACAATTTAATAATATATAGTCATCAGTAGTAAAAAAAAAAAAAAATGTTATGGAAATAAAACAGTTGTTTTTTGTAATGGTAATTTTTAGACTAATTTAATGGTGTCTCGGACTTACAGGTATGGTTATTAATTTACGTTAATTTTCCTTAATTTACGACCGGAATCAGTAATAATAAAACGGGACACGTAATGAACGGTCTTGATTTAAATGACATTAAAAAATACATACAGAAAAAAAAGCAAAAGAAAGGGAATATAAGTTTGGCGGCTATTTCTGGTTAATGAAAATAATAAAATACCATTCACTTCGATACAATAAACTGATTAAAGCCGTGATTGAGCCGAAGATCGTGGGTTCGAATCCCGCTCGTGACACTAATTTTCATTTCAACCGACCATACATAAAAATATTTATTAATTGAAAGAAGTAATTTGGTCAATCAGACCAATAAATATAATGGATTTAAACTGATTAAAGATGAATTCAAAAAATTATTAGTATATAATTGTAAAAAATTCCATAGATTTTGCTTTTATGACAATAGTTGTTTTAATGATTAATTGAACTGAATTTATGATCATTGGTTCTCAAGGCCAAATAACATCACAACTCGTTTTGGGATGTATTGTTATTACTTATTAGGAACAACAACTGATGCCCAAAATATGGGGGAGACCCTCGGAAGGAAGGAATCACCTTCTTATGTCGGTTGTACACTCTGACATGCTCATCGCATGAGATATGGGCTTAAGCTCTGAAAAGAGATAAATACGGTAAGCATACAGCAGTTGTTTTGAGGAAGGGTGTCTTGAATCACAACAGGAACGGTTTCTGTGGTCGGGGGTGTAATTGATCTAACGGCGGCCCTAGAGAGAAAGTGGAAGTGCGATCACCTTTCATAAATATGCCTTATGAGAGGTGATTTTCCAAATCACGCGGAGGACAGACCCAAAAGTTGGTGCAAGATCCGGCTTATTAATGGATCCTCAGGAGAAAAGGAAAGATCGACTATTTTGATACTAGTCCTAACTGGGCATAGGTATAATCGCTTTTATTTTAGCGGGAAGGAAAAAAAGGAAGACGCGGAGTGCATTGTTGGCGATTTCTAACGTGATGACGTATAATATATTCTTTGAATATGAGCGGTGAGCACTAGAATGGTTTTAGCTACAAGGATGGCGCCTTCGAAAAGAAGGTCCTGCTGGAAAGAAGTTATGGTCGACAACTCGCCAAATTGGTTAAAACGTCCTAACAGGCGGCCCCAGGACCGTGGAGCAACCTTTCTCTTAATGCCGGACATTTTAGTGTGTGTGTCTGTTAACTGCTTCGTTGATTCTGAGTTGGGTTTGGGTGAACCTCCTTCTGCGATCACGGACGCTGTCATCTTTTCTTCTTAACCATATTCTTTAATGCTCGTTTAGGGTCATCGGGTCGGATCAAGACAGTAAAGACAAAGAATTGGTCGCCCAGGCTTTCGCTACCTTGTCCTCAAGTCTCTTTCGAACAAACTCACGACAATGAATATAAGAATGAAATATGCAATACCAACATTTCCATGTTGTAAAGGTATTTTGATTGCAGCAACCGTAATTGTTTATTGTTTTTTTTTTAATTTTTTTATCCATAAGCCAACATTTAAGATGATGATTGACACTTTTAAATTATTTCTATAACATAGCGTTTCCAGGACTATTCCAATTGATTTATCATCGAAATCAACATACATTGGCGAATAATTAAATATAAATATCATATCAATGGAACAAAAGATTGTACAATTTTAACGGTTTTTTCTGTGTAATAGAAAATTGTTCGGAGTTTTAATCTACAACTGTAATATTTTATAGATTTAGTAAACTCTTCAACTGAACGGATGAAAGATTAATGTTTTACATTATTTGCACGCTAATTAAATCTAATTTATCGTTGGAGGGTGGGAATACTCCCATTGGAGAAAATAAACTCACGGTTTTTCATTGTCTTATCAATATATTATTATATAATATGATAATTTTGTACCAAAGTAAAGTAAAAATAAAACTTAAAAAAATTATGGACCACGGAAGGCTTACAAATTATTTTAACCTAGGACTAATTTTAAACTGATTCAATTAAACCCAACCCTAAACTTTTATATTATTTCAAAATAATATTATTTTACGTTAATTGCCCCTAATTTATTAATGGAGGATGCCGCGAGAGGAACGTTAAACGCCAACATTAAAAAGAAATTAAAATTAAAATTTATTTTAAGCCGGATTCCAATTATTTATCTATTAGAGAAAATATACTAACAAGTTTTGAATTGCCTTTGAGCAATTTCTGTAATAAACACAGCTTCTTATCCAACTTATTATGTATTATTATTTTACGTTAAGTTACTCTAATTAATTAATGGAGGATGGTCACGCTGGAGACATTTGAAAAAACGTGATCTAAAACATGCTTTAAGCAAGAATCCAATTATAAATTGGAGAAAACAAACACGATTCGAAATGCTTATAAGCGTAATTAATAATTTATTAAAACAACGAGGTGAAAAATTAATGAACATTCATGTACTACTTTCCTGTCAATTTGTGCAAAACGGGGAAAAACACAGATTTTTTAATAACAAATAAATAATAGCATTTTAATGTTGTATTTGGTGAACATTGGTTTGAGAAGTTTTGTTATTTGACAAGGACTTTAATAATTATTGCACTTTTTCAAGGAATTTCTTTTTGGTCTTGCGTTTTAAAATGGAGGAAAATCCTGAACCATTTGAACATCGTACCTAACATGATTTTATATCTTTGTTAATTGTTTTAATTAGTTTTTTATTTTGATTGACGGATTCGGGAATTCGTTGTTCTAAATCATAGCATTTTAATGATGTATTGATAAACTGTTTCGGGACTTTTTATTATTAGACAAAGACTTTATAGATAAATGGTTCTCTTTTCCAAGGAATCATTTTCTGCTCTTGTGTTTTAAAATTGAGGCAATTCATGAATCTTTACAATGCCATGAATGGCACTAAATATAGTATTTTATTTAATGTTTTAATTTGTTTTTATTGTTAATGACGCTTGGAGAAGATTTAACGTTCTTGATGTTGGTGTTGTACACAAAGATGTTATTGTTCTTGTGCTGTTACAATGTAAAACAGTAAATCCTAACTTTTAATGTTGTACTGAAATTGTTTCGGAACTTTTTATTACAAGACAAAGAAACAATCCGCTTTTCCAAGGAATTGTTTTGTGATCCTGTGATTTAAAATAGAGGAAAATCATGAGTCTTTACAATGCTATGCATGGCCGTACCAAACTTAATTTTATATTTTAATTAATTGTTTTAATTATTTTTTAAATTTTAATAACGTATTGGTGAAGATTTATCGTTTTTGATGTTGGTGTTAAACACATAAAGGCTATTTTTATTATTGTTCTTGTGTTGTTGCATTGTAAATGATGTAAATCATAACATTTTAATGTTGTATTAGTGAATTTTATCGAGACTTTGTTCTCCACAAGGATTTTATAAAGAATTATTACACTTTTTCATGGAATCACTTTGTGGAATTGTGTTGAGGTCTGAAATACAGGGAAATCAAGAATCTTTACACTGTCATACATAGTGACCATGATAATTTTAGTTTGTGGGAGAAGGGCAATACCAAACTTAACTTTACATTTTCCTTAATTTTTTAATTAGTTTTTATTATTAATGACGCATTGGTGAAGATTTATCGTATTTGATGTTGGTGCTGTACACAAGGAAGCTATTTTTACAATTGTTCTTGTATTGTTACAATGTAGGAAATTTAAATCATAACATTAAAATGTTTGTGTGAACTGTTTTGACACTTTTTGATACTTGACAAGGACTTTTTAAATAATTATTCTACTTTTTCAAGGAATTACTTTGTGGGCTTGTGTTTTAAAATAGAGAAAAATCATGAATATTTACAATGCCATACATAGCAAACTTGATCATTTATTTCTAGGGTGGGGGGGCGCAACAAACTTTTGTTAAATATTATCTTTAATTGTTTTAATTAGTTTTTTATTGCCGATTGACGTATTAGGGAAGAATTATCTCAGTTGTTGCCGATGATTTAAAAAAGCCGTTTTGACTATTTATGTGCTGTTACATTGCAAACATTTTATGTTGTATTGGTTGAATTGTTTTGAGACCTTTTGTCACTGATCGGATGCGAGCGAAACAAACGAGAATGCCATGGCTAATAAAAAATCTTTAGATTTAAACGAGATAAACACATAAATTGATGAATAACGAGGGACAAAGATGAATCTAGGGCACTCCCAACAGAGGAGGCGAGCACTATGAGCACAATGAGCATGAGCCCTTCCTCTGATATTCCAACGCGGCCTCGCCCACATTTCCGAATACGGCGAGCATATAAAAACTCACAGAAACGTGTTTATTCAATTTGAAAAATGTCGATTTTGAACTCACCTGAAGTCAGTCTTTGCTATCGTCAACGTCTTCAGTCTTGTTAAGCAGTCTTCTCGTATGGCACATGAGGCCTGGGGATCCGCGTACGGAAAACGCGAACTAACAACAATTATCTCATGACGGAAACTTAGAATAAACGGTGATCGTCTTCCCGATGAAGAAACCGTTCACTAACAAAACATTACATATTTTGATTTGGGCTCAACCAGAGGAAACAAAACATAATCGGCCATTTTAGTTTACGTTGTGCCCTGGCGCGGCACCGCGCCGATTTTCAGAACTACGCCTAATCAAACTTATTAGGGCGCTATCAGGGTCGTTACGCTTCGGACGACGTTCTCCATGAATTCCAGGTAAGAAATCGACTATTTCTTCTACATAAACCAAGAGATCTAGTTTAAATGCCATATTTTGACTTAAAGGGAAAATAATAACAAAAACAATAAATGTCCGCTGAAAGATTATAATTTTTTTCCCAAAACGCAACTTTAACGCGGTGGATATTTTTTTTATTATTTGTTGAATCGTACCATTATCTGGTCATTTTTAGTCAAAATAGACATATTTTTTTAATGATATAAATCAACGTAGCGTTTACAATAGTACAATTAAATTTTAATAAATTAAGTGGACAATAAATGGCTGTTTAGAATAAGAATGGCAAGAAGAAAATACGTAAAAAAAATCGTATGGCGGCCCAATCACACCATGATTCCAGATTTGTTTCTCCCAGATTTGTAAAATAAACTGTTCAAAAATGAATATATTGGGAATTTTGTAGTATTTACTTTCCGTAGTATTGTTATTTTCTTTTTATTATAAATTTCATTAAAATTGGAAATAGTTGTGTTTTACTGAAAAAAAACAACAACAAAATAATAGGTTTTAATTGCATAATTTTCTTTATTGAACACATTTTTTTTAAACAATTAATACCGTGTGTTATGTCCTCTGTTAGCTAAAACGTCTGTGCACCTGTTAGACATAGTGTTAATAAAGTTGTCACTAATTTCATAAGGAATTTCACTCCAAACATGTTGCAAAGCTGCACTCAGTTGTTGAAGGTCGACTGGATGTGGATGGTGATCGAAAAGTCTTCTCTGCAACCCATCAACATGAGCTCAATGGGATTGAGGTCTGGAAGCAAGGGGGAAGAGGCAAATGGAAAATTCCTAGGTTTTCTAAATATTGATGAACAACTCTGCCTCTATGAGGTCTGTCATTGTCATACAGATATCGAAAATCCCTGCCAATGAGATCCCTGGTTTGAGGGATGTATTCCTCGATAATTTCTTAGAAATAACGGACTGCGGTGTGGTTGTCTTTAACAATATGCAGTCCAGGTCCTCCACTTCTAGTGTAAATCCCAGTCCAGACCGTTACACTACCAACTCCAAACTGCACTGAAGGAAGCACAAACTGAGGCATTGTATGCATCTCTGTTCTCGGTAGACACGTCGGCGCCTGCTATCATTGTACAGAAGCGCACTCATCAGTGAACAGCTTTCCAGTTGATGTTCTCTTCTAGGCTCTCGCTGTACCATATTCTCCTTCGTTGCTGGTGGCGGCCTGTTGCAGGAGAGGTGTGAGGCCAACTTGATAAAGGTCTTGCCAAAACATATCGTACTTCGTTTAGAATCTCGCTGGCACTATGGACAGGGTTCCGTCTTGCAGCGACAACAATATTTCTCACCTACCTTAGCGTCGTAATGCGCTGAGATCCACTACCAGACCTGGCACTTTCAGTCTCTCAGAATCGGGCTAAGGCCCAGGGGACGACACTGTAAAACCGCCCTTGCGATATCCACTATCCAGTGACCTCGATGACTCATTCTCACAATAATATTGAGAACTTCTGGTTCACGATGATGTCTTTCCATGGTTAAAGAGAATACAACTGGATTAAAACGGAGAAAAGTCAAGAAAAGGTGTTTGTTTACAAAATGAGTAATCGCCATGTTTACTATTCTTATCCTTTATTATCTATCGTAAATCCTTTATTAATAATGAGGATTAACGCTTGTTTGTTTTTGTCGTTTCCTTGAGGGATAAATTTTTTATAGAACTCGGTGAAGTCAACGCCTTCCAAGACATTATTCTGAGTCGAAATAAAGATTTTTATTCAGCGGAATAAAAGCATTTATTACACGTTGGCTGTAGAGATTGTGATGGAAAATATTTCGTATTTCTATATTTATTTATTTACGGATCGAAATCCACTATAAAAAAGACATTTTACAATAACAAAAAATATAAATAATATATGTAAAAATACAAATAATATTTATAAAAAGAATAAGGATGTATATCCATGGTAATAATATAAATGGTAAATATAAATGATAAATATAAAAATACAATTAAAGAGTAAAAACTGAACAACAAAAATGAACGACATAATTACTAACCAAATAAGGCAGAGAAAACAAAATAAATCTGAAAGCCAATTGAAACTACAATAATTAGGTACATATTTAATGAAAATAATGCTCTTTATAAATATATAATAAGACTAGAGTACAAGAATTAGTTGAACCAGTAAATGAAATAAATTGTAATAATTTTGTATAGTATAAAATATAAAAGCATTCAACTAAGGTTGTAGGATAAGGTTTTTCATAGATTGCACAGAACTATTGAAGAAGTCAATGCTATTGCAGATGTTGTTACTCTTGATCATCATTCCGTGTAGAGGAGAAGAGAGCATGTAGTTAGAGCTTTGGAATTCAATATAAAATAATTTATAGGTTTTAAGAGAGTACGAAGGGACATGTAGCTGTAGTTGAGAGAGGAGATAAGGACTATCAATGAGATTGTTTAATAATTTAAATACAAAAACAATATCAAAGTAATCCCTTCTTAGTGCCAGTTCGAAAAGTTTAAATTCAGAGCGGATTCCGGGTTGGCAGAATTCGGAGGAAGATTGAATTTGTAGGAAAGTTTTTTTAAAAATTTGTTTTGTACAGATTGAAGAATTTTTTGATAATTTAGATAGAATGGGTTCCAAACAGGTGTAGCATATTCTAGTATGGGTTGTACAAAAGCTTTATAAAGATAGACAAAACATAAAGGATTTTTAAATTCATAGGTGTTCCGGATGATGAAACCTAGCATCTTCATAGATCTATTTTTTATTGAAAAGATATGTTCTTTAAACTTGAGCTTTTGATCAAAAAGTACACCAAGATCCTTTACGACCTCAACTCGCGTTAAAAGAGCATCATGGATGCATATTATAGCATATTTCTTTGGTAGTAGCTACTAAAGTTTTCTTCTTCAAGATACCTTGATCCAGAGTATTCGTAAGTGAAAAAGTGGTATTTTCTTCCAATCTTAAAGTTTCCGCAGGGTTGGTATTACATGTGGCCTGGCGATATAGTCAAGAAGAATCGGCTCCTTACGGTTTACCAATGTTGGAACGAATTTGCAGTTTCCCGCGCATTAGTTCCACCTTAATTCAAGAAATTATAGCGAACGACCCCAACATCACACCTCCAAACAGTCACCATAGCTTTTTTTAGGGTGCAAATTTGGTTTCGGAAGTGTTTTGGTGCTTCATCCTTGTCCACCCACTGATCTGTACACCTTTTGTTGCACGTAAGTCACTTGGACAACTATAACCAAAAAGCTAATCAGCTGGACAAAGGTAGTGCAAGTCACTTGGACATTTATTTTAAAAACGTACTTTACTACAGAACAACTTAAAAACTTTATACATTTAGCAGTTCAAACACCACTCATTATTTTCCCGCCTTTCCCCTCTAACCGAATTTTCTGTCCCTTTTTTTATGCTTCTTATTTCGATGTAATTTGACAAGACGTAATAACCGAAAGAATAACCCTCTTTAGGAGCCTTCTCCATGAGAGTTGTAAAGGCGTTGTACACGGTACTGTGAGGCAAATATGAAAGTCGAAAGAAGAGCTTAATCCACAAACCAATCTCTATTTTACGAAGGTAATGCTTATTAAGGGACTTGTCTTGACGTTTTTTTCTCAACCATACTTGGTGCAAATGAAATTTTCGTTCCATTATATTTTGGGAAAATATGAGGAAGTGCTGTGATGGCAGCTTGTTCGAAGTCCACGAACACGGTAGTAAGGTCCAAGTTCTTTAAAGTTAGGCATAATTTTTAATTGCCTTCCAGAAACGTACATAGGTCTCTAGATTTAGGAAGTCGGCAAATATTACAGGCACATAAAAACCACTCGTGCTAATGTTAATTGCATACAGTTGGGAGTAAAATTTAGGGGTAAATGCGAAGGTCCCATCAGCCACGACTTTCTCTGCCCGACATAGCTCAAGGAACTTGTCCAAACACAACGCGAACCCTGAACGTTGTCCAACGGCTGTCAAACTCGTCACTTTGTGCTCCTGTTATCGTACAGAATCCATTTCTCATCGCACATGATGATTCCATCAAGAAATGGATCATTTTGGTGGCTCAACAGAAGAGACGTGCATATTTCAAACCATCGATTTCTTTGGGCTTCGGTTAGTCGAACTTCTTTACTTTACCAATTTGCTCCAGTTGGCGAACAAGGTTGAGTGGTCAACACCAAGCTCTTCCGCAATTAAGCTCCCCGTGTCGCCTTACGTGAATTTGCTTCAATGAACATTTTGAGTTGGTCGTCGTCCACTACAGAACTACAGAAGTCCTACCGCGACCTTCCATGACTTCGAGATTGAAATATCCAAGACGAAATCTCAGAAACCATCGCAGCACCGAGCATTCGCTAATGCTTCCCTCCCCCCGCCAAATGCGCGCGGTTTGGGCCGCACTTCGCTCAAGTTTAAATCCTTACAAATAATTTTGACGAAAAGCTAGTTTGGACATATTTAATTTTGCGATCCTCACTCCTCACTCTTATAAAATTCAATATAAACTAAAAAAATGTATAAAAAATAACAGTTTAAAATATTTATTATAATCCATAAATTAGGTTTGAGGATTTAGCTTTGTTTACATGACACTTACCTGCGAAAATAAAAGAAATTTTCAAAACCTGCATTAATTTTGGACCAACCCAATAGAAAGAAAAAGGGTTTTCTTCATCTAGTATGTTCTGACGTTTATGCAAATATCTCTTAAGTAACAATGTCTATCTGGCTACAAAAAATACAAAAATTACACAATTACACAAAAAGTACATCCATAATAGCAATTACTTCCGGGTAGATTTTTTTTTTTTTATAGAGGTTTATTTTCGGTTTTTTGGGTCGATGACCTTATCTTAAGCCCCCTCGCTTTCTTTGAGGGGACCTTCTTTTCAATCACTCCCTATGGCCCATGAGCAGGTTGTCTTCCTAAATAAAGGGGAGACTCCCTTCTGTTCAATATTTCAAGTTTCCCAT